ATCATAAACTAATTAATTACTAAGTTAAATTACATCCAAGAGGAATAAACCATAAATGGGCTATGTTCTATTTTACATACTTAAACCCATAAATAATATGTATGTTACTATGTACTATAAACCCTTTTACCCTATGCTTTTTACCTTTTTTCTGTTCTTCCATTGTTATCAGACACAGAAGAAAGTCTTGGTGCTGCAGAGTTGCCAATGTTATAGAGAGGAATAGTTTTTGTTCCGAGTCCTTTTTCCTGTGTTGGCTTCCATTATTAATATTTTTTCCTCAATATTCTCTTAATTTATTTACTTAATTTTTGTTGGGTTGTAGCAGTTAAACTCTGAGATGAATAAAGTGTGTTCCCTGTTCTTTGTAATAATGTTTTCTAGTGGAGGAGACAAAAATATAATTTTAAAAACTTGTAGGTTATAAAAACAATATTTACTGAGTTCTTTTTATATGTCAGGCACAACTCTCAATGCTTTATGTCTACTAACTCATTTAATCCTTACACATATCCTATGGTGCATTTTTAGCCACAGGGTCATGCTTTCTCCTCCTATTAAATAGAGGGATATTATATCCAATATTAGGATATAATAGAAAAGCATAACTGATTTGCTTTAGCCTTACAGGTTCTCGTTATTACTTAGAAGTACTGCAATTTTATTTATTTATTTAGAAAAAATTTCCAGTTCTGAACCACAACCTTTTGTCTACCTACTAGGTATATTTTTTTCTCTAGGTATTATGGAGGTTGTAGAATTGAAATAGACATGGCCTAGTCCTCAAAGTGTACTTATTCTAATATGGATAGATATAGTCATAAAAACCTACATTATAATACTCAGTAATTAATGATTGCATTTGTAGTGGTTATTTAGCATTTAGGAGTACTTCCTTACATCTCCTTTGATACTATAAAGCCACCCTATTGAGATAGATGAATGTTAAATTTGTTCAGCTAATTTTTTAGCTCTTACCATATAATGGTAAGCAAGACATATGGAGTTCCTTCAGTCTTATAGTATGAGAGAAAAAATCAAGCAATTACACTAAGGTATGAAAAGTAGTAGTATACGAGAGGTTCACCTTGCTTTCAGAATACATAATCAAGGCACCCAACCTAGTCATCAGAGCAGGAAAGTTTTCGTGGAAGAAGTATCATCTAATCTGAGGCCTGAAGACTAAGTAGGAGTTAACCAGGAGTAGAGGTGAGAGGAAAGGTGTTTCCACTAAGGGAGAACACCGTGTGCAAAGAGAACATCTTTCGGGTGATTTGGGGGAACTAGAAAAGATTTAGTAAAGTGTAAGGAAAGAATGGAAGGGAATGGATGACAGGAGATGAAGTTGGAGAATTAAGCAAAGACTAAGCCATATAAGCCTGTGTTAACTCATTTTTTTGAGACTTGGGACTTAATGATATCTAAATTTTGGAAAGGGTCCTCTAGATTTGCAAGATAAGTAGAAGTTAAAAGATTCATTAGATTTGGGGTTAAAAGAAAGGGAAGGAACAAGACTGATTAGAGGTTTCTGGCTTGGACAGGTAGATGGATTATGGCCTCTATTGAGAGAATAGGAGTATAAAAGAACAAAAGGGCTTTGGCACACCTTCCAATTATAGAAATTACTGAGTGCCGCGTTGTGGTATATACTAAAGTTTTATTATGTAATTTTGAGAACATAAAGTACAACTCATAGTCATAATTTTATGAGTACTGCTATATAGAGACCAGTGTTGTTTTAGACATATGTTTTAGCGCCCTTCATTAATAGGCTAATACTTGAATTGGGGAGGGGGGGGGAGACTTTCTTTAAAATACGCCGTGAGTGTTACTGTCCTTCATTCATCTTTAAACTGTAATTCTTTTATGTGGGTTTCTTAAATAAAGGTTTATCATTATCATTACATACATCTGCAAAACTTTAATTCCTCTCAGCAACGTACCAAGTCAATCTTTGTATCCACTTTACCTTTGTTTACCTTTCTGGAATCATAGAGAATTGGTGTGGGGAAAGTCCTTGTTTTGGATTTTGCAAATACTTTCAATAGTCATTGACTACTTCAGATTTAATCCACTAGCAGTTAAGGGTCAGTCGTTCAGATAACATCAAGCTATTTTAAGTTCAACAGTTATTGTTGATTTTTTTTTCTT